AGCCAAGTCGCTCGGCTTCACTGAAGTCCAGGATCTACAGCAACCGGTTGAGCTCGGCACCGAAATTATATGCAAACCCACGTTTGCCAGCTTGTCATTTGTGAATGGAATCTGTCGCCTTATGCACTCCTCCGCAACAGACAAAATCAACTGGAGGAAATGGAGACGGTAGTGTTCGGCACTTCCACCATTAGAATAGCTGATAAGACCGGGAACCCAGTATCGCGATGAGACAGCATACACCGAGCTCATGAAGAGTAAAGCCTTCGGCTCAACAAAATAGGAATAGGTTGCATCCGATACAATGCCGTTTACCGATTCGTTTTCGACGTGATGTTCCTTCACCAGAAGTTCCGCCATGAACGGGGTCTGCATTGTGATCACCGTTACTTTCCCAATCGACGAATGTCGAATAAATCCGGGGTTTGCAGTTTCAAATGCCGCAAAATCTGCAATGGCACCGTCTGGCCCCTTCCCATTTCCTCGGCCCAGAGCTTTCTTTTTTTCATGCTTGATTCGATCAGCATTGATCAGAACAGGGGAAATTTCGGCGACAGACTTCCCAGGGCCGTTGGCGCCTGGCAGACCAACAAGGAGTTTGAGAGGACCGGTGCGCGGGTGGTCCGTAACGATCCCAACAAACACTGCTTGTTCGGTTCGGGATAGATGCAGTCGGTGGGTATGGCGGGGGTGTTCATGAGTTCCTCCATTGACGTAGTGAACACCGTGCTTGAACGTATAGAGTACTGAAATAACGGAGCAAGGGGTATGCAAAAGAGTACCCCCACAATTGCAGCCATTTGACAACTGCTGGCGCAGGCCTGCTGAAGTGGTCTGGGGGCGCACTATAACCTCGCAATCATCGTTATCGCACTCTACAGAGCCCAGGCATTGACGGCGTGTCGTTTTCCCGCCCTGCCAGGTCTCAGAAGTTGCAGATTGATTCGGTTTGCCACCGAGAACTCGATACGCCCAGTGTACCATGAGATTGTCCAGTCTTTTGGCTTCATTCAAGGTAAAGTGGTGTGAAAATTGTCCGTCCGGAAATCCGTCCCAAATGAATGATGCGGGAAGCGATTCATCGACGTCCATAGCACTCCCAGATTCGGAAGGTGCTCGATGCTGACGGTGTTCAGCTGGGGGCGGTGGTATTGGGGAATTGTGTGAGGAACGAATGGGCCGGTGAGTGGCCTGAGGATAATTTTGGGGGCCGGCAGCCGGCATGGGTGCGCTGGGTCTCGGTCGACTTGGGTATTCACGGTAACTGGAACGCGAGGAGTCAGGTGCCCAGCGCGACAAATCATTGTCGTCGTGGCCGTGGTCTTCTTGTGAATCACGAGCACCACTGTGATACCCTGCGTGCTGCGAATCGGGAATAAACTGCTCATGTGACGCCCGCCTGGGGTTGTCTCTGAGCTCAGAACGTAAGGTCGGCATTCCACGGGGTCGCATCCATGCAAATATCTTTCCTGTTTGGTGTAAGCTATTCTGTTGCTCGAAATCACGGCTCAGACGAACCTGTCTTGTCGCGCAGAGGCTCCGCATTAATACTATTGATATCATCTGTAAAAGGAGTCAAAACCAGTTAGTTAGAGCATGGAACAGAACTTACAGTCCGGTAAGCTGTTCTTGAAAAGATGGTCATAGGCCTTTCGTAGCAATCCCTGTGCAGGAAGGAGGATTAACGACAGGTTTCAATTGAACGGGTTCGGATGCATACAAAGACCATGGCTTGATGTATAGTCTATTATAGGGAGACTTGGTATAAGATTTGAGAAGTTGAAAGAGTGGCTAGGTGCGAGGCATTATTGTCGTGTTCAAAGTCATGCACGACATTGAAAATCTAAATGAGCGCCCACGTGATGTGACATACCGCGTCGAACTGTAGTCAGCATGGTGAGTAAGCAGTAATGTGTTGCTTTGGTCGTCCTCTAGACTCATCCCAGAGGCCTCGCCGTCCAAAATTAATCTTTGGAAGATTCTTAATGTAACTGTTCTCTGAGTTCCAGGTTGTCCTGACTCTCCCTCAAGTCTCCCCCGCCCTGTGGAAGGCTAACGACAACCTCAGCTTTTTTCGAACTTTGATCCGGATTCCCTTGACCACGTTCCAACTGCGTGAAAAAATTACAAGGCTGCTTGCCTCATTCATTACTCTTAAGTCAATAAAGCTGTCGGTATTTTTCCCACTCTCCAGCAGTGGAACATTATATGTAAACTTAGGGTTCGCATTGTGATTGGAAAGCCAATTGTGATCAAGTTTCGGCTGAAAAGCAATGTTTGATATCTGAAAGACTAACATCCCGGGATTTATAACTAATCATCCATCCATGATCCTTGATTTTAGAAGAGACCAGCGACTGGCGGACCATCGGAACTCTCGGTCACAATTGCGTGAATTTCAGCTCTCTCCTCTGAGTCCTCAGAGGGGGAGTCAGACTCGGACTCGGAGCCATTTATCGATATAACCTCTTTGTCTTGACATCTGGGTGGAGAGTGAAACGGAGGGGGATGAAAAGAGCTCTCCGAGCCGTCGTGAGAGGACAAGATGCTGGATTCCCGTTCACTATTATCTGCAAGTTCTGAGTGGTATCCAAGTGAAATCATTGTGGAAAAAAATCGCACCATGTGAAGCCTCAGTATCTTGAAAATTTACATGCTGACCGGCAGTCGGAGGTTTATTGTGCAGGTTGACTGGTGTTTTACATAGGAAGTCCGTAAACTGTGGTTGTTCTTTGCCAAGTACACGCAAAGTGTGCGTGAAACGGGGGTGTGAGTGTTTGGCGAAATTTTCGAATCGGGCACCTCCTGTATAGATATGAAGTTTCCAATGAACTGTGCATTCACGATGCTGGAGGATAGCACCACACAAGCAACGTTGACAGAGTTGCTGTGAGATGTGAACTCCACGAGCTGCAGGCGGAATACATACACCGCAAACCGTGCTAAAGCATTGAATAACACCTAGACATCGGCGTTGGATAACCTTCCCTTTTTCCCAGGTCGAACAGGCGGACGATCCTTTCCGTGTTCCAAAAGTCTCAGACATCCATTGAACTTCAAGTGTATTGGTATCTGCCACTTGTTGCTGCTCGAAGAATTGTATGAACCTGCCGGTCGGCCATCCGTCCCAATATGGGGTAGTTTCAAGAGATGGGGAGATAGGAAGATGGTGTACATAATTGACTCTGCCGCGAGGAGCAGGCAAGGTTTGAGGGAACAGCTTTGGTGTGGTACTAGTGGCAGTGTTGAGCTGGAGGGCACCATTGTGGAGAAGGGACACTGGGAGAAGCGGAGAATATTCGAGGTTGAGTGTTCCGATTAAGTTTCCTACATTGCATCTTAAGTCACACGTCGCGGAAGATGTAATTGATTCAACAACCTTGGGGATCATAGTGTTCGACCGGGACCATCTTCCTATGTCTTTCAGTCGACACAACTGTGCCAATTAGATTTCCTAGTTTCTCGTTCGGTCGGGTAGTTAGGGACTTTTGAGACACGAAAGACGGTACCTTGGTCATCGTAGTATGGCAGGCGAGGATTGGAATCTTGATTTTGGGGAAGAACTTGCCCGAGAAGTACGCCTGAAAATGATGAGCAAAGCACTGACATGGAATGCGTGATTGTGAACCTTGATCGTCGTAGTAAGGCAAGGCTACAGGCCCGGGTGAGGTTTTCCACAGAGAACGCAAGTTGCCCTAAGTCAACGGCTATGAATTGTGAGGAATACAGACCAAATTGGACTCACGAAAAACATTGACTTGGAAAGTCAGTCTGTTGGATTGTCGCAAGTAGTACCGCAAATCACCGCTGCGTAACTTTGGGTGGCAGTGCTATCACCGCTGGGTGGCAGTGCTATCACCGCTGTTGCCGCTGGGTGGCGGTGCTATCACCGCTTGACTTGCGCTCGACTGCCGCTGACTTGCGCTCGACTGCCGCTGAGTTGCGCTCGACTGCCGCTCTAGCTGCCGCCGAGGGTGCCGCCAAGTAATGATGACGAATGCTCATTTTTCATCTTCCTGCTGATTTCCTGAGCGGTGCTACCTCAGCTCGCGAATATTGAACCATCCCCTCGATATTTCTGTCAAATATTGTCTCGAAAAATGAAATACCTTCAAAAATATTAAATGACACAGATAAACTACTTACAATGCCTCAGTGCAACTAAACTACTACTACTGGCGGGAGACTATTCGGGCCTATTTGGTACTGGCGAGAGGCTATCGGGGCGGCGGCACACCAAATCACCGCAGAGTACCGCTTTCGGCCGAAAAGCGGTCTTTTCTCTTGGCCCCTTTCCACGCACTCCGGTTCCAGTCTTCTACACGCATCCGGTACTCCAACGCAGCATGCGCACAGCACAGGACACTGAGGACAGGCTCCAAAAAGGCAGCGAAAACCGCGCAACACGCAGTACTTTGCCTCCCACTGCACTGGCGCTCCACCACCTACAGTAAATATCAACGACACCACTGGCAATCCTGAGCCCCGCTTCGAACTTCCAGGAAGCAGGCAAATTTGCCTCTTTCCCTTCAAGCTTAACCTTCTTCTTCCAAGTTGCCTACATACTTAGATCGAAACGAATCTGCGCTTCAAATACATACCGCAAACTCAACACAAGAATCTGGCGTATCCCGCTGTCTACATACAGTAATCTCCCTCCAATCCAACCTTCTGCAGACCTCAAGTTTTCCCAACAAAATAAAATAAAATAAATTCATCGCGGATTGCAAGCAAGCACATTCCGCTATATACCGAACACACTAACAAACCAAAGCCCACCTTCGGCTCCCTCCCAAAGCTTTTCTTTTTACTCGCAGCACCCCCTCCAAGCTCTCAAATTTCAAAGCCCACCAACCTCAGACTGGCGCGTCGAACCCAGATATCAATATCAATATCATTCACAGCATGTTCCATCCGCTCCATACATACGAGTACACTTAATATAGCAAGAAGAATTTTTATTTTAAGAATGGTGCAGGAAAAACCAACGAGGCAAAAAACGGCCTGACCTTGATTCGAACAAGGGACTTCCCACAAAGTTACACACATGGAGGAGTTAATTGAAAGGGATGTGTTACCACTACACCATCAGACCATGGTTCATGACTCCTACATAGTGGTAACACATCCCTTTAAATTCATGACTTTTACAATTGATGTAATACAGTTGAATTATCTTCAGCCTGGATTGCCAGGTTCCATGTTCTGTTCGAGCCTGAGACTTCTCTCAAGTTTATTCTCTATGGCCCAGTTTACGCTACGTCGCGTGTGCTCGGTGTTTACGTTGGCACGGAAAAAGCCACGTTTATTCAAATGTTCATCCGAATGCACAGTGCACAGTCTCCACATGTACACCCCCGGCAGCGCGGAGTCATAATCAAAAAAATAAGAAAATGGATGAGCTTAAGCACCCAACGGGTTTAGTAACTTAATATGGCAAGAAGGTGGGAAAAACCAACGAGGCAAAAAACGAAACGGTCTGACATTGGTTCGAACAAGAGTCTTCTCATAAACTCGGTTGGTGGCCCTCTGAGGTGAAAGGGATGTGTCACCACTACACCATCAAGCCACAATTTATGACTCCTACAAATGATGAAATACAGTCAAATTATCTTCAGCCTTGGATTGCCAGGTTTCATGTTCTCAGTTCTGTTCGAGACTTCTTTTAAATTTATTATTTAAGATGAAATCACCACCCACTTTCGTTCTTGTTGCAAAGACGCGACCGACAGAAGAAAAAACAAAGAGCGGATTAGAGCTCTTCAAAAGTGCTGTGGGAAAAACCAACGAGGCAAAAAACAAAGTGGCCTGACTTTGGTTCGAACAAGGGACTTCCCATGAAGCACACTTATATGACTAGTTGAAAGGGATGTGTTACCACTACACCATCAAGCCATGATTCATGACTCCTACACTGGCAATTGATGAAATACAATCGAATTATCTTCAGCCTGGATTGCCAGGTTCCATGTTCTGTTCGAGCCTGAGAGTTCTGTCAAATTTAAGATGAAATCACCACCCACTTTCATTCTTGTCGCAAAGACGCAACCGACAGAAGAAAAAACTTGATTCGAACGAGGGACTTCCCACAAAGTCACATGGAGGCGCAGTTAATTGAAAGGGAGGTGTTACCACTACACCATCAAGCCATGGTCTTTAATTGATGAAATACAGTCGAATTATCGTCAGCCTGGATTAGGTTCGATGTTCTGTTCGAGAGATTTCAAGTTCGGTCCCGCAAAAAAAAGTTAAGAAGTGTGGTGCTCCAGCCTGCGGATTTCCGTATGCATATGTACAAATGGGAGTAACTTGATATAGCAGGAAGAATTTTTATTTAAAAAAGGTGCAGGAAAAACCAACGACTCGGAGGCAAATAAAAAACGGCCTGACCTTGATTCGAACAAGGGACCTCCCATGAAGTTATGTTGATGTTGCCCGAAGTGAAAGGGATGTGTTACCACTACACCATCAAGCCATGGTTCATGCCTCCTACAATTAATGGAATAGAGTCAAGTTATCTTCAGCCTGGAATCTGGATTGGGTTCCTTCCATGTTCTGTTCGAGACTTCTCTCAAATCGAAATCGAATCTCCGTGAGATGTACATGTGAGATGCAGCTCGACGATAGCTTGCATATATATATACAAGAGCGTGGCGGGGCGCTCCGCGCCCCACCACTTCGGTTCAAGATCAAAAGAAGCATAGGAGCTGTAAAAGCTGTTAAGGTCTGAAAATAAAAGCTGTTGAGTTGTGCCGAGGTGGGATCAGCACCGGCCAGGCTCGGCATAGGCAAGCCGGAGTTATTTGGCTGTGTGATCAGAGATGCCGCAGTGAAATGGCGGTGCCATCAGCGGACCTTAAAAAGCTTCAGACGGACAGGCATAATCTTATAAAGAGAGTGATGAAGCCGTGGCGGTGAGCGCTAGCAGGCTCCTGAAGATGCAAGATTTCAAGTTCGGTCCCTCAAAAAAAAAGTCAGAAGAAAATTTAAAAATGGTGCAGGAAAACCCAACGAGGCAAAAAGTGGCCTGACCTTGATTCGAACAAGGGACTTCCCATGAAGTCAAGTCGACGTACCTCCTAATTGAAAGGGATGTGTTACCACTACACCGTCAAGCCTAGATTCATGACTCCTACAACTTGAATTGATGAAATACAGTCGAATTATCTTCAATTGGGTTTGATTAATTCTGTCGAGACTTCTCGCAGATTTAAGATTAAATCATCACCCACAGAAATTCAGAATTGTGCGGTTGCCGAAGACTCAAGAGCTCCAATTGACTCTTGTTTTTTTCTGTTGGTCGCGTCTTTGCACAAAAATGAAAGTGGGTGGTGATTTCATCGAGAAGTCTCGAACAGAACATGGAACCCAATCCAGGCTGAATGTATCTTGACTGTATTTCATCAATTGTAGGAGTCATAAATCATGGCTTGATGGTGTAGTGGTAACACATCCATCTCAATTATTGCTATTCCAGCTAGGTTTCATGGGAAGTCCCTTGTTCGAACCAAGGTCAGGCCACTTTTTGCCTCGTTGGTTTTTCCCACACCATTTTTTCTTCTTACTATATTACTCCCATTTGTATGGAAACCCGGAGCAACGCACTCTGAAACAAGTATCACCACCCTCAGGGCGAAATGATAAAGTATTCCGTTGGGGGAAGCCAAATTGCCAAGACCCCTGAACTTTGATTCTTGACTAAGGACCTAATTAGGACACTTCAAATGCCCATCAGTTATACCTCAACATACTCGAGGTCACCATTGGTTAGGGACTTGTTCAGGACTTCACTTAAACCACAACTCGAACTCTGATATCTGCATCATGTCCCTCCCCGTAATTGATGTCTGAAATTCCCACGGTTGAAGTTGAAGTTTTCTCATGATTACAAAATATATCGGAAGCAACAAATCGAGGGGAGTACTCCTTATATCCCGGGTAATGACTCGCGTTTCAGAATCCGTAAGTCTTCAAGCAACCTCCTACAATTAATGAAATACAGTTAAATTATCTTAGCTTGGGTTCGATGTTCTGTTCGAGACTACTAGCAGGCTCTTGAAGATGCAAGATTTCAAGTTCGCTCCTGCAAAAAAAGATAAAAAGTGCAGTGCCGGATTAATACATATAGCAAGAAGGTGGGAAAAACCAACGAGGCAAAAAATGGCCTGACCTTGATTCGAACAAGGGTCTTCCCATAAACTCGGTTAGCATCCCTCTTAATTGAAAGGGATGTGTTAGCACTACACCATCAAGCCTTGATTCATGACTCCTACAATTGATGAAATACAATCAAATTATCTTCAGCCTGGATTGGGTTCCATGTTCTGTTCGAGACAGTAAGACTTCTGTCAAATTTTAAGATGAAATCACCACCCACTTTCGTTCTTGTTGCAAAGACGCAACCGACAGAAGAAAAAACTTGATTCGAACAAGGGACTTTCCATGAAGTCAGTTGGAGGCGCAATTAAGTGAAAGGGATGTGTTACCACTACAGAGTACACCTCACCTTCGTCACTTCGTTACTTCGCTTACCATTGTGAAACTTCGTGACTTTGATGGGAATTCGTGAAAGTTCGTGAGTTTGATAGCTTTCTATGAAAGTTCGTGAGTTCAACGCTGCACGTTCAACAACCCGGAATCTCGGCCATCACTATTCCTTCACACAAGCCGGGGCATGTTTTTTTATATAGATCCCTCACCCTAACACTAACCACTAACCAACTAACCCAAACCACTAACCCTAACCAGCTAACCCAAACCGCTAACCCGCTAACCCAAACCTAACCGGCCATTTCGGTAACCTGTTGATTGCCATCCCTCCGTGATGTGCCGGAGAGTCGCCGCTCGACAAGCCCGGAATACAAAGTCACGAAGTTTCATAAAATGCCATCAGACTCACGAACTTGCACCTATTCCCATCAAAGTTACGAAGTTTCACAACGCTACGCGAAGTAACGAAGTGACGAAGATGGCGGGGACTCACCACTACACCATCGAGCCATGGTTCATGACTCCTACAATTGATGGAATAGACTCAAGTTATCTTCAGCCTGGAATCTGTGTCGGAAAAATCCTAAATAGCTTGCAACGGCATGAGACAGCATATGGCCTTGGCACGGCTTGGGAGTGCTTCTGAGGTGCGGCGGGGGAGGCTTGGAACCACTCCGAAGCCGTTCAATGCCTGGGTTGCAGTTTCAAGGTGTCCGATGCCGTGCCAAGGGGTTCTTCTGATATGGCTCAAGAGGAGGACAATAAAATCAATCAATATTGTTATTGCAGTTTGCAAATGAATTGGCACAGCATCAATTTTGATGAGATTTTGAGTCGTTTCCGTAAATTCATTGTTTCTCACTCAATTCTCCACGGATTTCAACAAAACCATATGTAAAATTCACGGTTTGAGCAGGCGCAATTTATGGTACTCGATTCGCAGACCACCGTGAGGTTTTGAGCGATCAGATTTCCGCCAGGCGCCATTTGGCGCGTGGATTTTACGCGCCGAGTTCTGAGCGGTTTGGCACGAGTAAATGGAAGGTTCTATAGATATTCTAACCAGGAACCTCCTCCCCAATTTCTGGGGTGCCTGTGCAAGTAACGCGTGCGCGGCGACGCGTCGAATCGCATGGAACAATAATGGGTGACCGAGTGACATCGTGTCACTTGCTCTTCCTTCCGTCTTCCATGCACATCTCAAATGACCAAGGGTAAACCCATTACAGAAGACCTACAATGGGCCATTATTAGAATGAATAGCTTGGGTGTGAGCGTAGAAAAGATTTGGCTCTACACGGATGTCAGCAAGCGCCAAATCTACCGCATCATCAACCGGTTCCTCATGACTGGCAAGGTCCTGACGGCGACCCAACGGCGAAAGACCGGGCGGACCAGACATCTCACCACACAGGACGTTGCAGTACGTGCCGACCCCATTCTTTGGGCTGATTTCTAGCTAAAATTACAAGTACTTGCACGGCTGCCTGGATCAAAGTTGCGACAAGTATCTCGAAGAGCTTCAACTCGGGCTCCAAGAGATCTGTGGACGGAGCGTCTCATTGTCAACCATCTGGAGGGCATTGAAGCGCAGTGGGTATACAATGGTGAAGGTGTGATACACCGTTATTATGTTTCGAAGTTTTGACCAAAATTTCAGCTTACTCGGGTCGCCATTGAGCGCAGCGCGGCCAAGCGCGCTCAATATAAGTTTGTCGTTGGCACCCACTACACCCCCCGCCAACTCGTCTTTGTCGATGAAAGCTCATGCGACCGGCGCACATCGTATCGCGGCAGAGCATGGGCAATCAAGGGACGTCGTGCTGTCCGCAAAGCGTTTTTCATCGGGGCAAGCGGTGTGTCACCCGCTTTCTATCTCCACTCTATCTGTAACAGAGTCTCACAGATACTCTGTACTCCCCGCGATCTCTCTGGACGGGATTTTGTACGTCAGCATCCTCGAGGGATCTTTCACCACCGAAACCCTCCGCGAATTCATTGACGGCCTCCTCGACAAAATGAACCCCTTCCCTGGCCCCAACTCGGTCATTGTGATGGACAACTGTCGCATCCACAAGGCCGACATTATACGCGAAATGATTGAAGAGCGGTATGTTTTCTTGGCGCTCCCTCTGTCACCATATTGATCCCTTCTGATTAGTGGAATGCGCTGTGTGTACTTACCCCCATACTCCCCAGACTACAATCCCATGGAGCCCGGTTTCTCAAAGATGAAGGCGTACATTCGCCGCGAAGGGCAGTTGTACCGGGCCGCGACCGAGGCGGAAGATGACCAGATTGCTGTTCTCACCCAATTGCATAACACTGTGTATTCAATTACCCCCGAGGACGCGGAGGGCTGGTACCGCCATTCAGGGTATTTTTGACTTGTTACGCGCCTTGATGACATTGTGTATCCGTGCATAGAGGAGTACTGTACATAAGATTCAATACAATGCATTCACACTACACGACGAGATGGTACTAAAAGCTACAAGAAGAGTGTTCAAGACAGTCTTTGCGTTACAAGAGAGCAAGTGCGAGATAAGCGTTACAAGACAGCAAAGAACACAACGAATGAATACTAAAATTGTGCGGCCCACGCCTCCTTTCGCTCCGCTTCCACACGGCGAATTTTTTTGCAATCCTGTTTCGCATACTTTAGTATCAACTTCGCCGTACCGAGGGGCATGTCCCCGCAGATCTTGCGGAGGCTGTCCACGCTTTCGTCAAGGAGCTGGACTATGCGCGTATACCCGTTCTGTCTGAGGGGCGGGCCGAAGAGGTAGAAACCGTGTCCATCCTCCCCTCGATCGCCGCCGTCCAGCTCCAGGAGCCAATCCTCGACCTTCGGAAAATCCGTCGGGTTCTCGTCATCTTGAGAGTCGAGACTGATGCCCTTGCGGAGTGTGGTCTGGATAGCGGGGATGGGAGCTGGAGCGGGAGCGGGGAGGGCGGCTTCGGGAACAGCAGGATGTGGTTGATGTGGAGGTGCGTGTGGTGGATAATAGGGCGGGTAGGGGACATGAGGAGGCGGGGGGTAGTATGGATAGTGCGGGTGATGGTGGGGTTCGGCTTCAATCCCGGTTTTGTTCGCACGACGCGTCGGGACGGGGGCCTTCGTTCCTTCTAAATTCAAGTTCAGGACGCTGGGAGGCACTGTATCTGACGTGTGCGCCCCCTGGGCCTGAGAATTTATAAGCAAACGAAGAGAGCGAAGAGGTGTGTGTATATCACGTACCATCAACAGACTCCAGAGGCTCAACGCATTATTTCCGAGAGGTGCATGCTCGCCGTCTTTCAGAACGAAGCAAGCACCACCCCCGTGCTTGTCGCAACCGTACTTGGCTTCAAGATCGCGCAGAAAGTCAGCGCCCGACTTGCGCTTCGGGCGGACCTCATCGTCGCTACCGCTCGAGTCATCCTGCATTTTGGATTTCTGAGAAAGAGTTAGATATTTATACACAGATACATCTTGCACACACCTTGCGCGCCGTCCTCTTCTCCTTCTCCTTTACCTTCCCCTTCTTTCCCTTTTCTTTCGGCGTCAAATCCACAATCGTAACTTGAAACTCCTTCTTCGTCCGGGACCGGGACTTGTTCAGCTTGATAATCTCCTTCTTCGCCTTCGCAAACAGCTGTTCAAGATGCTTGGCAGTATCCAGTTTGTGGGGCATGTCACTAGCTTTCGACGTCGAGAACTTGTAGCCGATGTGCAGATACTTTCTTTCAATATCCATCTCCTCGGCAACTTTACGAAAGAAACGCGAGGGAGGCCCATCCGAGAGAAAGGAAAATTCGTCGAGCGCGCCGTCGGATGGTATTAGGAAATCAACCACAAACTCAGTGTCTGGTGGCCATTGAGATTGAGCACAGTGGATAGGCTCAAGTTCTGCATACCGTCGTCGTCTTCACCCGAATCCCCATTCTCTCCATCCCCACCGTCTGCATCCTCGTCAGACACGTAGTCGCGGTCCTTCCCAGACGAGTGGGTCCCAGTGAGCTGAACCTCGTCCTCCTCCTCCTCGGTGGTGCTACTGACGTCGGCGACTGGTTTCCCAGCCAATCCAAGGAGCCCTTCCGTTGCGGCGCGCACCAGTTCGTCATTGTCCCCGTCAAGAGAACTCGGAGAAGGAGATTTGTTACGGACTGGGGAACCAGCAACAACATCGGACTCAGTACTTGAGTCGCGTTGATAGGGCGTGTACCTAAACATGCATGAAAACTACTAAGTTTTCTTCGATTTACGACCTATACGGAGGCGAAGTGAGACTAGATTAGAGGGAGTACGTTCTCCTCGGAACGGTATTCTACACCGCTTACGGTCGAAAGCCAGTGATTAACAAGTACTTTACGGTCCAACCAAGAGCCTTAACGGGTGTCTTAGTTCAGCCTTATAGTCTACCGCTGGGCTCCGGGAGTTGGCTTACTGCCAGACTCTTTGAGTACCGAGGTGAACAAGAGGAACTACTATGGTCTTAGCGGCTGAGCGCTACAAGCGGTAGCCTCATTAATGATAAAGGAGTTGTTCTTTGAACTCTTACCATACGGCTGGAAGACCTCCAGCCGGAAGCCAACATTGACAAGTTCGAGCCGGAAGCACCGGCAGCCGGCCAGACTATTTATAGAAATCTGGTCTACCGGCTGACCGTTGGTGGCTGTGCAATTCGGGTGGTAGAAGCCAGCCTACGGGATGAACTCAGAAAGAAAAGTCTTCTTCCCGCTGGACTGTTTCAACGGGAAGACTAGTTTTTGAGCAGGAATA